GGGCCAAAATCCCTGTTATACACCCCACTCCCACCACCACCTTTAATATACTGACAGTGTCATTCCCATTGTCAGAACGTACAATCCAATGCTGAATACTGCCTGTTTAAGTTTACAATGTAGCTTACTTAAGTAGCTCACTAGCCTGGTGCTGATGTCCAAAAATATTTTTAAAATTATTTTTATCATTTATACCAAAATTGATTTTCCTTTTTTCCAAATGTAGAAAAGTAATGTAAGTGACCCATTTGACTATCAGCATCATTTATAAAATGAGACATTTAAATATTCTCAAGGAGAAACATGGTGATTGCACATAATTCCCAAAACCTTACCAACTGTAATTCTTTCGATGTTATTATACTTGTCGAGAGTTACATTATCCTAATCTTAAAGACGTGACAATGGAAGCAACACAGTGAATGTCTGCTAGGATGTGTGACTGTGTTGTCACGGATACCGGGAAATTAACCGTGACACCCTGGATTAGCGTGTCACATGATGAGAGTGATCCAAATGCTGACTTTACAATATTCTACAGATTGCAAATTTTGGTCAATGGAATAGGAAATTTTAAAGCCAGGCTAAGGAGGAAAAATATTTTCTTTGATTTTTTTTTTTTTGTACAACTGATTTTTTTTTTTCAAGATACATAAAGGGCGGTTGATGAAAAACTCAGAAATGGTCAATGAGATATACATTTTTGAAGAATATTTGTAAAAAAGGTAGAAAAATGGGTGGTTATATCCCTTTTTCACCCAGTTTTTATAATATTCAAAAATGTGTACAGGTTCATTAACTGTTCCAAATTTTTCGTCCAACACCATTTTTGTGTCTTGTAAAAATCAGTTTGCAATAATAATCAAAACTTTTTTTTCCTCACGATCCTGGCTTTAAACTAGATACAGTAAATAAATTATTTTTCAGTGCTCAACACTCAGAGTGTCATTGCTCAGATTCAATATTCTCAATGCTAAAATTTTATGCTCAGAATGATTCTCATGTAAATGTGACTTTCAAAATCATTGTTCAAATGAATTTCAAGGCTCAGAATGATTCTTATGTATGCTCAGAATAAATATCAAGCCAATGTTCAGAGTGACATTCATGTCAGTGCTTAGAGAAACTCATAAATGCTCAGACAAAACTGATATTAATGCTCAGAGAATGTCATATTAATGCTCAGACAACCTCATATTAATGCTCAGAGAAATTCATATTAATACTCTAAGAAAGTCATATTAATGCTAAGAATTATACTATAATGGAAATTCTAGGAATGACTCGTGTCAATGTTATGAATAGCTCCCACTGTATAATTATTATAAATCATTTAGTTATTAATATTAGTAGCAAAGTAGTACTGTACTACTATTAATTGATCATTATTAATTTATAATGTCATTATTAAGCGATGGTTATATAACCCCAAACTTGTCATCCCGCACACCTACCCACACACACATTCTCAGCACAAAGTATCAACAACACTAAATGTCATAATGTTCTCCCTCTCTCTCCCCACCCACAACCACCCACACAGTTCATCAGGACTGACCATCAACAAGGCTAAGAGTCTCAAAATGCTGCAGACATATTTTAATTTTCTCTCAGACTCGGTTTATGAAACATCACGGAAGGCATTAATAACATTTACAGCTATTTTGGGAAAGATTGATTTCCTGTCCCTGTTGATATTAAAAAGCATCAATGCACAGAAGGCATTACATGGTTCAATAGAAAACGCAATCAAGAAGCACAAGATAAAAAAACTCAAAGAGGTCGCTACAAGGCTTACAAAATGTCATCGAAGCCAGTACACTTGGAGACGTTTCAAAACCGGTTCTTACACTTGCGAATACATACAATTCTACTAGCGAAAAGATTTTAATGAAGACAGCCAATTTCATGCTACAGAGGTCTTTAAAAAATGGGAAATGAAACATTAATTAAATGCGAGCCAACAGTAAATAGCTGCTACATCATTTGACTATACACTCACTGTTTTTACCCCTTTACTTTTACAATCTGTATAATTTGAATTTATAATCATGTTATAATTAATTCATATTAATATTTTACATACCACTGTTTAATAATAATAACCTACATATAATTTGCATGTATATGTAGGTTTAATTATCTATCATTGTAAGTTTTTCTTGTATCCTGCCTCAAGATACATTGTTAAGAAACAAATAATTACTTATTGACCATTTACAAATTGAAATGGAAATATTAGCCAAGCCCCTGGGGCCTCACTGAAGCCATATTGTAACACTACAGACATGCAACAGACTACACGTTGTCCTTTCAACCAGCATAATTCTAATGCGAGGTATATTTGAGGAGATAAATGGTCACACCCAAATTCAACATTGGACAGCCTAGACAGATCTTGCACTGGGGTCTGGAATGTAAAAGGTAGGAAACTGCCTGCCATTAAGCAAAATGCTCTACTCGGTATTTAAAACCCCAATTATCAAGGTTTTAAATCTGCTTATTCGAATGCATAACAATGTACGCTCCTTAAGCACTGGGCCTTTCATATTGAAATAAAGTTGATTTATTAACCAGTTGCAGCAGTCTAGCCTGCCAACTAGCTGTACGGTAGTTGTACCGTTGATTCTTAACAAACTTGTTCCTGGTCTGGAAAATATCATTAAGATCGTGATAATGAAATTTGAAGTTTATCAAGCACTGATGTGAAAAATAATAAGTTCTATGTTGTAATTGGCACATTGAGTCGCTGTTAATAAATTAAATTAAAACAAAACAAGTCTGTTTGCATTAAGTACTTTTTAACATGCAGAATATCAACGAGTGAAATCTTCACACAATACAGAAAATGAAAGAATGATTACTCTGCATCAAGGGGGCGTCTATAGAATCCTAAGTAGGGTACATCCTCCCCTAGGGGGTGTCTATAGGACCCTAAGTAGGGTACATATCCTCCCAATTTGAAGCTTTGCAAAATATTGATTTCTAGATATCTTGCTTATTTGCGTCTTTTCCTACACCTCACCCACCAGTTTCAAAGCAATATTAAATTTCAATTATCGCACATGTGTCCACAACACGAACATGACCGTTATTATTTTACCAATCATAGCGCTTGTCATGCGTGAAGGTTGATATCTCTGTTGTGTAGGCAGATCACACTTCGGATAACTTGCCTATTCCTTCTTTATCCTTAGCTCAAATTGTTAACCTTCAGTTATCTGTTGGTTATCTGTTGGTTTTGGTTATTCTTTGGTTATCTTTTGGTTATCCTTTCATTATCTGTTGGTTATCATTTTGTTAACCTTATATTTATTAGTTACTTTTCTTTTGTTTAAAATTTTATATATTTTGGCTATTTTTTGTGTTAATGTTTCCTTCAACATCATCATCATCATCATTATTTTATAGTCTATTATTATTCCAAGCAAGCATGATTATACAAATTGCTTTCCTTTGCTTGTAAATTACCTGCTTAAACTTTAATCAATTAAATAATGAATTTGTTTGGCAGATGAGATAAAAAAAAATCCTTGAAAATAAACATTATACATTAGATTTCAAGCCAGAAAACTATGTTTAGAAAAAGAAATGAAGATAAGAAAAATGAGAATGATTTATGGACTATGAAAAGTGAATGGTGAACTGAAATATTAATATACAATGTATTAGAATATAATGCTTATCCACTCTCTATATATGCTGATGACTTGTGTAGTGAATGTAGCCTCTATTTAATGGATAACATATGTGAAGGAAATAGTGGGAAGGGTCCAATACTTCCCTAAAGCAATCAAGTAATTAGGCAGTTCAAATGCGAATTGCATGATGTTTAATTACAAATGGTGAATAGGCAAACGGACATTGTAATCATGATGCATAAATTACTGGGGGAATACAGACTGGTTATTCCAAAGTGAAAACCCGTTAGCAACAGCAGATCAACTATTCATTTAACATTACGGTATTATTATTATTAAAGATTGTCTGAGTTATGATACATGTCCAATCTTGAATAAAAGTTATCACTTGTTTGAATGAAATATTTGTTATGTAAACGTAATATTCACCTGCTACAATTTGTACATCACAAAAACTTGTCTAGCCTGGAACAATGTTTCATATTTAAATTATTATTATTATTATTATTAATATTTAAATAGAACAAATTAAGAATTTATATAAATTTAAGGCCATCGTTTTTTTATAACACCTTATTATTACATATTTGACTAAATCTTGGAAGCATTGTGTAGTACCAAGCACTAATAATTAAATCAGATTGCTTTATGTTTAAGTAATTAGCTTCAAATAAAATACTGTAAACAATACACAAAATAAACTATTATACAGTATGAAAATTAAATTTGATGTTAAGAAATACAACTTTAAGATGATGGCGATCAGTAACAGTGTTCTCCCGAAGCTGTTTTGGCCGTCAATTTTATTGGTAAAATAAGTGGCTAACCAGTAAAAATTTGTAGATTGTAAAATAAAAAAACCACTGATTAGGCCTAGGTAGTCTAGGCTGGCCTTCTGTCAATAAATGAACACTATTCCAGTCTATACCTAGGCCATGATATACGTGTTGTTGTTTTTTCGAGTCATTAAACCCTACTCAAAAGGGATAACGCCACACAATGCGTGCATAGCTGAATTTTTACGGACAAATTTACAAGTAAAATTTTTCCAATTTGGAGAACACTGATTAATAATGGCTGGCTAATTATTAATAATTTTATACATAAATACAGAATGATTTTTTAAATAACACACTCTTTTAAAGAGAAAATTAATAGTTATTTGTTGCGCTAACGATCCCAAAATAAATTGATGACACACATTTCAAAGATAATGTATCTGTTCTGTAATGGGTTATTTTCTTAGCTGGGAGCAACCATTATTCTCTTGATGGTATTAAGGTGCTTTTAAGAAATCAAGATACATGGTGGAAAGTCTGTAAACAAGATAAAATAACAAAATAGATATTATCTCCTTACTGTTCTTCACCTACTCTGGATATTTCTTGACAATCTGTTTAGTAAAATGATATTAAAATTTATAAATAATCATAGCAAATCATAAATAACAATGATTATAGGAAATAATTAATAACAGTAATATTAATGATTTAACAATAATATCAAAGTTAAAAAACAATAACACTAGTAATAATAAAATTCATAATTTTAATCACAAAAATAACCTTTTAATAATAATAATAATAATAATAATAATAAAAATAATAATAATAATAAAAATAATAATAATAATATGAATAATAATAATAATAATTTATTTCCTCAAATACAGGAGGGTGAAGCCAAGGAGGAATATTGATAATAATTACATTAAATCTAATAAAATAAGGTCAATATGATAGTTTCATTACCTCTCCGAATAACAATAAAGAAAAATATATATTAAAAAAAAAAAATTTTAAAAATCATTACTGGCTGCTTATTTTGGTTTATCTACAGAGAATTCAAAATTGTGTAAACAACTTTACATTGATGACAGACAAATAATGGCTTTTTTTACAAATTACACTGATTATCTTTTACTCTTAATATTCATATTACAGCTATCTATTATTTATTATCATTATTATTAATTTATTAATATTTATTTATTATCTATTATAGATAATTATTAATGTATATGTGCAATACATGACCATCATGTGACAAATATTCTGAAGTTTTTACTCTACCTGAGCTATCGTCATGGCAATGTCTTTGGGGTGAGCCGCTGTCAATAGAATGGATCCGCTGTGACGTCTACAAAGGAAACAATTTAAAAAACAGGAATTTTTCAGATCATGTTTCTCTTTCACTTCATATTTCTTAAATTGTTTCAGGATCTCTTTACTGTAGTTTTTTTGTGTATTTTCATTCTTTCATACATCAAAATCAAAATCCATCCTAGAATATTTCACTATTATTATTATTAGCATGATTAAATCATAATTGATAATGTTAGTCATAATCCAATAGAGGGCGGTATTATAACATTATTCATGATTCATAGAGGGCGATATACAAAACACAACTGAGCGGGATTCACTGCGCAGCATATGCCAGTACTTCCCTATGCGACCTTGTGGTAGAATTTATTATTACTGGCTTTTCCCAGCAGTACTGGGAAAA